GGACTGAGGAGAGAGAGAGTGTGAGAATGAAGTGAGGGACTGAGGAGAGAGAGAGTGTCAGAATGAAGTGAGGGACTGAGGAGAGAGATGTCCAGGGAAGAAAACTGACCTCCTGGTCTGGCCTACACGTGACTCCTGACCCATTGCGGTGTCATTGACTCTGAATTGGCCTCTGAAATGGCCTAGGCAGCCACTTTGTTCAGGGGCAATTAGGGACAGGGACAATGCCAGTCCTCCCAATGACACCCACATTCCATCAAATCATAGAAAGAAAACCCTGTTTAGGGGACTCTGCGCCCTTTAAAATCCAGTTAATAAATGTTAAATGTGGAAACTGGACCATGTTCATGGTGAATTCTATGATTTCTGAGGAAGGGTCACCAGACCTGAAACGTTAACTCTGATTTTCTCTTCACAGATGCAGCCAGACCTGCTGAGCTTTTCCAGCAACGTTTATTTTTGTGCCATGGATGATTCTGTTGTTTTCACATATTTGTATTTTTACATAGTTCTATGTATACTTTATGGATAATAATCTGAAGGACCATGAGGTAAACACTCACACAATCCTGCTGACTGTTAATGGCCCCAGATCGCTCACGAGGCCTTCTCAGGGTGAATGGAGAGGGGTAATAACTATGGTTTTGCCCTCGTCCTAAGACTGGAACATTCCTGACTGCAAGATGGGAGGTGTTTCAGTGGCTGCTCCAACCACCAGGAATGTGAGGATGGACATTCCCTTGATCGTCATTTTCATCATTTTGTGTCTCTCCTCAATGTAGTGATTTCTCAGAGCCCAGATTGGGAGACTGTGATGCAAATAGGAATTGTAAATTTGTATTTAATTGTCAGATATGACAAAGTGAAATGAGTAACTGCTCTACGTTGAACCAATGGGCTTCTAGCTTCATTGATGGGACAAGGGCAGAAGGAAAGGAACACTGTCAGATCCACAGCGGATACAGGAACACTCAGTGCTGGGGGTATAAAGGGGCAAGGTTTTCCATCTCTCATTCTGAGATATCGTGTGAATTAACCTCAGTGAGCAGCAAGCTCTCTCGTTGGAGAATCTTTTTCCAGTGGATCAGCAGTCAGGGGACTCCCCATCTAAATTATAACAGCATATAATACTGAAAGAACTTTTATTCCAGAACCCTTTCTATGATTGTAAGTGGTAATAGTTAGCTACGTGTTTGCCTCCCACAGAGAGGCAGACCTGCTTCCACTGCCCAAGCCCCACTGTGTCCCTGTTCCTGTGCTCCACCCATTCACATCCTGATCTCAACAAAGAACAAAGAAAATTACAGCACAGGAACAGGCCCTTCGGCCCTCCAAGCCTGCACCGATCCAGATCCTCTATCTAAACCTGTCGCCTATTTTCCAAGGATCTGTATCCCTCTGCTCCCTGCCCATTCATGTATCTGTCTAGACACATCTTAAATGACGCTATCATGCCCGCCTCTACCATCTCAACTGTTTACGCACTCTCCGAGAGAGCACTCTGGGAGGGTATTACAGACTGTCTGGGAGGGGCTTTAGCGAACTCTCTGGGATATATTTGTAGGCTGTCTGGGAGGGTATTACAGACTGGGAGGGTCTTTAGCGAACTCTCTGGGATATATTTGTAGGCTGTCTGGGAGGGTATACAGACTGTCTGGGCAGATTTTTTGCACAGCCTCCAGTTTGGGAGACACTGAACTGAAAGATAATAGGGAGATTAGAAACCTGTGATTGAATTAATCTTGTGTGTGTTGTTTTTTTAAATTAGCACGCTATGGACATCTTGGGCTTTTCCACAGAAGAAAAATACAGCTGCTACAAAATGGTGGGGGTGATCTTGCATTTAGGGAACATGAAGTTCAAACAGAAGGCAAGGGAGGAGCAGGCTGAAATAGACGGAACAGAAAGTGAGTAATTATTGATCAGAGTGATTGCTCCTGCTTCGAAACAGTCTTTGATGGCAGTTTGGCAGCTCAGTAGAACACTGTACATCTCCGAGTGGCTGTGTTAGTCATCCATTAAACTGGGCTGGTCCATCATACAACCAGACAACATTGGCTAAATAGCACGCACATGGAGAGCTCGTAAACACAGGAAACAGATATCATTCAGCTCCTTAAACATCAAGTGATGAGTTTTATTGAAACTTTCCTGCTGACTCATGAGTTGATTCTTGTTCTCACTGATGGTCTTTGGAACTCTGTTCCTCAAAAGGTGTTTGAAGCTAGATCATAGATAATAGAATCCTGACAGTGTGGAAACAGGCCCTTTGGCCCTACAAGTCCACATCAACCCTATGAGCATCCCACCCAGACCCACCCCCCTGTAACCCACCTAGTCTGAACACTTCGGGCAATTTAGCATGGCCAATCCACCTAACTGGCACACATTTGGACTGTGGGAGGAAACCAGAGCACCCAGAGGGAACCCACACAGACACAGGGAGAATGTGCAAACTCCACACAGACAATCACCCAAAGGTGGAATTGAACCCAGGTCCCTGGTGCTGTAAGGCTGCAGTGCTAACCACTAAGCCACTGTGCCACCCAAAAGTCCTTGAATATTTTTAAGGCAGAGGTAGATGGATTCTTGATAAGCAAGGGGGTGAAAGGTTATTGAGTTCTGAAGCAGAGCTCCAAACATTCAATCTTTTTCTCTCTCCAGCACTTTCTGATTTTGTGAGAGGTTATCAGGGTTAGGGGCATGATTGTGGGAATAATCACATCAGTCATTCCCCTCATTGAATGGCAGGGCAGGCTCGAGGGGCCTACTCCTGCCCCCAATTTGTGTGAATTTACATTTGACTTGGAAATACATCGCCGTTCCTTCACTGACGCTGGGTCATCATCCAGGAACTCCCCTTCCCAACTTTACAACCCAGGGACTACAATGGTTCGACAAGGTAGCTCACCACCCCCATCTCCAGCCTCAATGATAGATGGGCAACAATTATAGATGCCACTCTTGCCGGTGATGCCCAGATTCCATCAATGAATGGTTCAGAGCAGAGTAGGAGTTGTTGTTCATCTTTGGGGAGTGGTCTACAATTCCTGGATTCGGAATAAAGCTTTCGTGCACCTAGAGGTTTGGCACAAACATTCACCTTTTGGTAACAGGTGCAGATAAAGCTGCCTGCTTACTGGGAATTCGCTCGACAGACCTGATCACCAGCCTGCTACACCCTCAGGTGAAGATCGGCAATGAGTGTGTGACCAAGGATCAGAATGTTGGACAGGTATGTAAAACCGAAACCCTGTCAACCCTGGTTACATTCCAACCAGTGCCAACTATCCCTGCACCTCCTGCAGTGCCCCTGGGCCAAAATCCTGGAATTCCCTCCCTAATGGCATTGTGGGTCAGCAGGTGGACTGCAGCGGTTCATAAAGGCAGCTCAGCACCACCTTCTCAAGGGGCAACTTGAATAGGAATGATTTAGAGGGATATGGGCCAAATGTTGGCAAATGGGACTAGATTTATTTAAGATATCTGGTTGGCATGGATGAGTGGGACCATGCTGTATATCTCTACATAACATTCTCAGCCTTTTTATTTTAATCTAACACCACCCTTAATTTCCCTGTGGAACCAGGGATAGATCTTTCTTGCTATGTTTTTGTTTTCTTAATAGAATGCATTTGTTCAAAAATGTTGAATGATTTCTTTAAATGTTTACTGCCATTTGCTAACAATATTTTTACCCTGTTATCCAGTTAACCTTAACTAGGTCCCGACACCTAAAAAATTGACTGTGCCTAAATTTAGGATTTTGTTTTGGAATCATGCAAGTTGTTGTCTTTGATTGTATTATGATTGCTTTGTTTAGCCAGAGGATCTGTATGAGATTGCTGATTAACCATGCCTCATTGCCCAACACTAGATCTAAAATGCCTTGATCTCAAACTGTTTCAACAACATACTGGTCCAGGAAACAGTCATAAAATCATTCTGCAGAGTCACCTTCCAGACAAACAGTGCCAGTTTGATTGGTTCAACCCATCTGTAGATTAAAGTGTCTCATGGATATCACTAACAACAATTGCTACATGCCTCTATAAATACTTGGTTATGGGCACCTATGCCAATTTGTATTTCCAATTCTGCATGAAGCTTAAAGCCACCAAGAGACAGTAGGAACTGCCGATGCTGGAGAATCTGAGATAACAAGGTGTAGAGCTGGATGAACACAGCAGGCCAAGCAGCATTAGAGGAGCAGGAAAGCTGACGTTTCGGGTCTGGACCCTTCTTCAGAAAAATTCTAAAGAAGGGTCCCGACCTGAAACGTCAGCCTTCCTGCTCCTATGATGCTGCTTGGCCTGCTGTGTTCATCCAGCTCGACACCTGGTTATCTCTTAAAGCCACCAATGCCTGTTTTAGACCTCCTCATTATACCTGGTTTATTCTTAGCCCAACAGAGTACCTACTGGCAGGTGGCCCATAGTCTCCTTCTTCCCTCTGATATTTCTCACCTCTTTCCGGTTGGATTCTACATCTTCCAATCCAAGATTGTTTCTTATCACAGGACCCTCAAGGTAACTGTTGGAGAATTGCAGGGACTCAGGCTCCTCATACTAGCGTCACTCACCATCACACACTCCTAATCCTGATCACAGGCCAAATTTGAATTCCCTCATCTGTTGGGTGTAACCACTTCCTGGAGTGAGGCAGCTAGATAACTTTGCCCCTCTCTGATTTGGCACAATGTCTGCAGCTCAGATTCCATTTGGTCCAACATTCCTCGAGTTGCAAAACTATAAATGTATCCCCTTCACAATGGTGTCCAGCACCTCCCACCTGCTGCAGCAGCAACACATCACCCATCCTGCCATTTATTAATTGCTGTAGAATTCCTGCTCTTTACACTTTATTGTAATTCTTTATTAAACAAATAAATGTCAATATCAACTTTATATTTGAGATCTTTTTGAGACAGGAGGCAAAATTGACTAGAAATCGACACAAACTCAAGTTCTGAGTTTTACTTTGAAGAACAGAAGCATTGACTGAAACCGCTCACCAAACAGCTTGTTTGTCTGCACAGTAGTTTGTGACAGCACTGGGGCACCGATCTCACTGTGCATTTGTCTTTCGGCCCATGCCTTTTATTCTCTCCCACTCACCTCTCACTCTGGAGGCTTCACTTCTCGCAGTGAGCTTGATGTGAAGCACATCTGCCCCCTCCCCTCCCAAATCCAGACCAAATCGCTGGATACCCTCACTGAGATGAAGCCCCCACTCACACTGCCCATTCTCCTCACCGACTGATTTATCGGATCAACTCCACATGGCTCTGACTTCTATTGAGAGTCATGCGTGTGCCTCTGGGATTTTGTTTTTGTCTGGTGGCAGGTCCTTTACGCTGTTGGAGCTTTGGCGAAAGCCACGTATGACCGGATGTTCGCTTGGCTGGTAATGAGGATAAACAAGACACTGGACACGAAGCTGGCAAGCAAATTCTTTATCGGAGTACTGGACATTGCAGGGTTCGAGATTTTCCAAGTAATTCTGTCTTCAATTTTGTGTCCCACACAAGAGCTCGCGGTGTAAGGGCTCATAGACAAAGGGGATGGGCTCAGTACATTGTGTGAACTGTACTGAGAGGATAAGTGTTGGGACCCTCAGCTATTTCCGATCCATGTGAATGAGTGACGGGGTGAGGGGGTGGGGGGAGCGTTACGTCAGTCTGTTTAACGGGGGCTGCAAGTTGGGAGGGAGGATGCTAAGTGTGAGCAAAGGGATAAGGACAATTTAAGGTCGTGGGAGGAAAATGAGCGGGTAGAGTTTGACGTGGAAAGATGTGAGGCAGGAAAACTGAAGAAACAGAGAATTCTGTAAAAGGGAAAAAAAAAGACAGCAGGGAGCTGCAGAATGGAAGGGGGAGTCAATATCAGTTTGTCAGGGTTCCTCGAGACATTCAATCCTCCATTAGACAAACCCTACCACCCCCACACCC